TGATAAAATCAGTGACTTGTCGCCACCTGCTGGCGGATTTAGTTTCATTTTTAAAGTAACTTTTCAGTTCTTTAAATTTCTATATTCAACATTTTTTAAAACATTAATCTTTTAAATTCATTAAACATGAATTTATGGATTTAATTGCACTCATGCCACCTCTGATCCTCATTAAATGTCTGAAAATTTTGCAACTTTACAGATCTTCTTTATGAACCAAGAGCTTGTAACACTCCAAAGAGAAAGGAAAAATTGAAATCGCATCATATGACCCCTTTAAGACATGTAAACAGTTCCTGAATGTGTTGTTTACTGACAGCTGTCCATGTTATGCTGTTAATGCTGCATATAATAGGGCTGCACAGTTAATGACAATTGAATTTTCAGTAATTTTCTGATTTGCAAATACTTTTTTGTTGCTTTATTTAAAATGTTATAGAAAAAATTGGAGGAGGTTTGTTTTGTTCATGGCTTAGAAGTAGTTTCACAGTTGTAGAAAATAATTGGGTAAAATATGTTGAGAACCAAGGCTGCTAAAGAAGTGGGCGTTTACTGTTTCTTTCTATAGTATGAATTTTTTTTTTTTTTGTATGCACCTCACTCTATGTCCATTACTTATAACATTTCATGTCCTGTTTTGCCATGCTGATTTAATGAAATAAATCAAATGTAATGTGAAGACAGAGTTTTGTGGACCAAGAGGTTAATAACGGATTTGGAATAAATAGCATATTAAAGGGGTTAGGGCTGTCAAAAGGTCTCATCAGTGCTCTATCAGGTATTACTTTAATCAGCATATTTGTGATATTTGCCTTAAATTGATTGCTGTTACACTTTTTAACTCCCCGCCCCAAACCCAAGCACCCCCCTAAACCCTCGCGGTCTTCCTCCACACTTTCGTGACGTAATGCCGCTTTGACTGTCATGTAGAAGTCTGCAGCGGAGCTCTCCTCAGTGCGCATCAATGGTGCGTAGCTGCTGCAAAGGGGGTGCTCACGAACACCCTTCTGAAAGCTAAAATGAAGAATGGGACACCCTACGGTCTCGTGGACTTAACGGACATGCGCACGTGGCAGCCATTGTAAGTCCGCAAGAGCGCAAGTGCACATGAAGTGTGCCATTTGGGACAGGCCTTTTTAATTTGGGCATGCTTCAGGTGTATGCGCTCAGAAAAAGCGCACGTCAGAACAAGTGAATGAAATGTTTAACCGGCAAGACTTTAAAGCACATGCAAATAATGTACTTTTGTGATTGCAAATATGTGCAGTGTCCCGGGAGTTAACATTTGATGTGAATGTATGTCGTGTTATAGAGTATATTGAGGCCTTTTTAATTTGGGCATGCTTCAGGTGTATGCGCTCAGAAAAAGCGCACGTCAGAACAAGTGAATGAAATGTTTAGCCGGCAAGACTTTAAAGCACATGCAAATAATGTACTTTTGTGATTGCAAATATGTGCAGTGTCCCGGGAGTTAACATTTGATGTGAATGTATGTCGTGTTATAGAGTATATTGAGACAGAGGCGCCAGAACTGTAACTGATAGAATGTGCGCTGCAGCATGAAACTGCAATATTTCTTAAAAGGCGACATTTTTATCGTCCACGATCAAAAATTGTGACATTGCACACCCCTGTCTGCTTCCATATCACAATAACCAAATATTGCCACCTAATTCATTGCCTTGCTGTAAAAAATATTTACATCTCTCAGGATAAAACAACAGCACAGAAGGTCGTGTTGGCTGAAGCCTATACATGTCCATGTGTTTGTCTAATATAGAAAAGCCAAATGTGTCTTGTTCAGTGTAATGTTGCTTATTCTAGAGAGTGGGCTTTGATGGAGTTTTTTTTCCCTGTGTGGAAGTTCTAGGGGGTCAAGATCTTCACAGCTGCAGCCTGACACTCAAATAGTTGAGGTTTTAAGTTACTGTGGGAAGCTGAGCCTTTGGAAAATCAGTAATAAGATGAATTTAACCACAAGTGTTCACAAAACATTGGGCATGAAGGACGTTTTGTCATTTGATAAAGCCTTCATACAGTTGTTGTGCACATTTGGGTCAAGTTTTCTCAAAATCCCCCACAGTTTTTTTTCAATGTAACTCTTCATAAATCTTCATCCACCCAACTCTGGGTCAAAAAGTATGTTCTACAAATTTCAAAGCTTTTTAAACTTAAACATTTCAGGCAAGGCTTTGTCAAGCCAGCATCAAAATTTGCCTCTAATTGTTCCTCTTCTTTTTATAAACTCTGTGCTTTTGATTGATTGATTATTTTTTAGTCAGTGTAACTAAATACTTAATTGTAAAATATGTAACTAGTCCAATAGTTTATTTCGGATGTTGTTTACCATACCAAGTTAATCTGTTTCCAGCAGTTACGTCTGAAACTGCTATCCATCACAAGTTGTTATCAGCTGTGTAACTGTTTAAAAATTTTTTTTTTTTTTTTTCAGAACATGATAGCAAATAGATTTGACATAAGGACAATGGGTTAGCACTGGTTATCACACTGTAGAGAGATTTCGTTTTTTTAACTTCGTCTAGACCCAGCCAAAAGTTAGTTGTTTATGTACATTATGTACTAAGCCTTTTTTCTATGAACAGGTGGAAGGTTTTTTGTTGTTTGTTTTTGTATGTTTTAAGGAAATGTAACAAACCCTAAGGAAAACTGAACAAATTTAAAATACTAAACGAAAAGGGCTTACCCTTATTTTGTATTTTAAATTTGTTCATTTGATGTCATAAATGAGTGACTTCTCATGTTTCAAACCATTATCCAAGTTAATGTTTCTTATCCTTCATGTCATGGATACAGCATCACATGGAACAAAAATCCCCAAAAAATATTTCTAACCTTCTCATTTTACAAACTCTGAGGTGACTTAATTAAGCCATTAGTGTGAAATGCTGATTGAGGGGCAATTTTCTGAGCAACCGTACATCTCTCCCACGATGAGTCTTGTGGCTAATGGTTATTTTTTCTGTCTTTTTCAGCAGGCGCAGGCTAAGAAAGAGGAGCCCGTTACACCAGCTTTAAGTGAGAGCATTCCAAAGTTCTACTTCCCTCAAGGACAGCCCCAGGCCAACATCAACATAGACAATCTTATTTCCAAGATAGAAAAAATATTTTCTCAATTTCCTGATGAAAGAGTCACTATTAAAGACATGGGGCTAGTTGCCAAGGTAAGTGTGGTTTGTAACATGCCACCTTTATCCCCTCTGCAAATTGTTCATTTTGTGTAACTAACTTATAACTGTTTACATGTTTGAAGGTTTTACTTTTCCTTTAGCAAGTGGAAAAATATCACCACTGTTTATATGTTGAATTACTTGTCCTGAAGAGAACCTGTTTAGGTAAACGACGGGATTCAGGAATTTATTAGCCCCATTTATAGTTTCTACAGCACTTGTGAAAGATGTAGTCATAATGGCCAAGCACTTAACAGAAACCTCTGATTGAGCTAAATTGCCCATTTAAGAGTGAATGGTTGTAGTGTTGCATTTTATTTCTGAACTCTACTGTAACATTAAGATCTGAAAACTTTACGGTCTGTTTGGTGCTTATTTATTTAGATAGAAATATAGCATTCATTTTGAAATTCATTACATCTAGATCTATTTTGTCACCCTGAGGTTGCAGTAACGGTCTAGGGTAAACGTACCTATTAAGCTCACGTACCCATTAAGCACACTTCCATTTTTGAGCTCAGATTATAAAAAGAAAAAATAATTTATTGTCCTACTTGATGTCTTAACCAATTGATATGTTTGTTACTATATACCTCCTATAATTTCAAGTCAGTCAGATCATTGCACACTGAGATATGTTTGTCCATGTGTTCACACTGTCTGGCAGCCATTTTGAAAGCTGTCTAAAAACTTTCACCAAAAGAGGAGCCCCTTCAATGTGCGTTTTTTAAATGTTTAAGCCTTTATTTTGGGTAAGTTTCACAACTTACTGTAAAATTAAGAGATTAATGTTTAGACTTTTGCATATTATAACCTGGAACTTGGATGTGGGATATAATTCCAGTTAGATTCAAAAGATAGTTTTAACAACATAGCGCAGATGCTACAGAACACAGTTAGCTGACTAGCTGTATAAGATTGTGTGATTTTACCACCGGAATGCGATTTTTACAGGGGAACCCTCCTCGAAACGCGATTGGACTAGTTTTATTGCGAAAACCTGGCAACCCTGTTCATAGGCGCCACCTGCTGTCAGAGAGTGCGTCTCATTCAGACCTGCTGTTTTTGTTTCGTGCAGATGTTTTATGTAGCAAATAAATAAATAACACCTAAAGTCAGAGCATTCTGTTTTTGTTTTAAATCCTGAAATTAATCTAAATCAAATAAAAAACAACTGCCCGTGCAGATCATGATTAAAATGCAGTGGTTGCCTATAATTTCAAATGGCTAGATATTTTTGTTTAAAGCCAGTTTGTTTGTTATAAAGCAAATAGCCAATAAATAAATTTGCTTAAAAATCAGCATCTGTATCAGAATCCAATTTGCTAGTTAAAAAAAATCTGAATTTTGAATCAGCTATGACCGGCGCATCACTAAATAAAATACTAAGTAAAAGGCCTCAAATTTGAAGTACAATCTGGGATGTCTTTTTCTATCAATTCTTCAATAGGTAGATCTTGTCTTTCATAAAGGCCGAGGTCAGGGATCTTGGGCCTAAAAAGGTTGGTGACCACTGAGTTAAGACATGCTTTTTGGGTGTTAAATAATGGCATAAATACCAATACCAGTGATCAATGCAATCCTGAGTAAATCACATTGAACACTCTCCTCCTATAAATTTTACATCTGAAAGGGAAACTACATACATATTCAGTAATGTCAGTTGCAAAAATAACTGTCCATGCCTTTTCGTCACTAATTTTTCACTGTTTTATATCCTGGCAGTATTTTTTTAATGCCAAAAGAGGGTCTGTGCTGGTGCGAGCTGTTAGTAAATCTGGCCCTATTTCTGTTATTTTCTTGTGAAGCTGCTTTGTAACAATCTGTATTGTACATAAATAAATGTGACTTGACTAGAACATAGTAAAAACATTTACTAAACACTTTAGTGAGTGTGTGTGTGGGTACCTCCAATGTGTTGGAGCTGTCTAAGGAGTGTGGTGTGTTATTGCTTGAGTGTGTGGACGTTTCGTTCTTGCCCTCCCCGTCCGACTTCTCGTCTGCACTCATGGAGTCCAGGTCTGTGTCGAAGCCTGTGGGGTAACCCATCGCCTGTAGCACCTACGCCACAAAAACATCATCACACAACTAACCCAGCATGGACGCCACACAAAAAATGATTACACTTTAGTCACAGTCATTAAGTACATGCCTATGGCTTCAGATGACTATAATGCAAGAACATTGCGGAAACTCCAATAGTTCTGGAGCAACGCGAGTATGAATAAATGGTGACATATTGTAACTTTCCCTATTAAAAACTCTGCCACATCAGCCCTCTTTTTAATGAGGACTTTACTTTTGTTTCGAAAATGACACCATGAGCTGAAAAGTAAAGTTAAATGTTAAAGTCTTTAAACAAGAGACTTCAAGTTTTGGCATGAAAGCTTCACAAAATGATGATACATGCTGAGAAAGTTCGGTTCATTTTCAGTGAGCCATCAGTGAGCAGGCGGAATCAAAAGTGGACAGTTCCTTGGATACCGAGGTCATTATCGAAAATGAAATCATCAAAGGACTCACTTATATGAAAGTCCACAGAAATATGCCCACACTACCCATTAAGCACAGCCAGACTTTTTGAATTTAATGATGTATATCTTCATTGAAAAGCTTTTGTCATTTAAAATAAAATTAAATATTTTTGTGTGAGAGATTAATATTTTATTTTAACGTAACTTTTTGTACTGAAACCAATATCTTGTGCACTAAAAATGTCTCAATGTAGATTTTGGTGAGCTTAATAGGTACGTTTACCCTATTTCGGTGTGACGTTTTTGTCTCCTTGCAGGCTTGCGAGTGCCCACTCTATTGGAAAGCTCCATTGTTCCATGCTGCCGGAGGAGACAGGAGGGGATATGTGTCCGTTCACAAGTTTGTGGCAATGTGGCGAAAGTAAGACAATAGTTCTCTTCACAGTGCCCTTTCACATTAATATCAACAGGGGTCAATGGCTGCACATGGTTTTTTTTAGCAAGTATATGAATGTCCTCTTATCAAGAGCTAAAGTGCAGTGAGCTCTGTGTATGATTTTGGTGGTTATTGATTATTTGATTGATTATTTTGTACGACGAAACGGCTGTTTATTTTATGTGTCCCTGCATTACTTTGTGATTTTTTTTTGTTTTTGTTTTTTTGGCTGTTTTATATACTCATTCAAGTTTCTAACTGAGCGGCTGTGATTCTACAGAGAGTACATGAACAGATATATGATATGAAGTGGATTTTCCATAAAATATAATTAAATGAAAAAAAAAACATTGTTACCTTCTATATTATTAATGTACCATGTCTAGAAATACATTTATGTAAATATTTTTAATGAGATTATTAGTGTTCTGGAAAAAACTGGGAGTTCCTGGTTTGGCTGAGCATCTGGGTGGGGGTCCCTGAATCTGTAAAGGTTGAAAACTCTTGTTTTATAATCATTATTCCTCCATCATTGTTAGGGTTGGGAATCGAAAATCGATTCCGATTCCAGAATCAGATACTTAAGGTCAGGAATCGGATACTTGTTGTCAAATTAAAATTTCGATTCCGCCTATCGATTCCTTTGCGCTTTTTTTTTTCTTCATTTGTGAGGACCGGACCTAGCGATCTGCCAGGACCTTGCTCGCTAATCTAAGTGCTCCAAAGTTTGGCTACATTTGCGATCAGAAGCCAAAAAAGCTAAGTATAATATCTGTGATAGCTAAACATGTTGCAAGAGAGGCGTCACCACCAACATGACAAAGCACTTTAATTTAA